GAGATCACACCACCTAATGAATGATTCCTGCCCGGGCCAGATCCTGATACCGAATTAACCTGGCCAGACCCTGGGCCCTGTGAGGAACACTGGGGGAAAGGGGGGGCAGGGGGTTCTGGGGAACATGGTGGGCTCGGGGTTAGAATGGGGAGTGGTCTTCTCTAGGACTCCTGGGTTCTCTCCCCAGCTCTGGGAGGGGACTGAGGTCTAGTGGTTAGAGCAGGGGGGGCTGGGAGCCAGGACTCCTGGGTTCTCTCCCCGGCTCTGGGAGGGGAGTGGGGTCTAGTGGTTAGAGCAGGGGGCTGGGAGCCAGGACTCCTGGGTTCTATTCCTGGCTGTGGGGTGGTGGTTGGAGTGGGGAGGGGGGTCTGGTCCCCCATCAGGCATTTTTGTCTCCCAATGAGGGGCACATGCCCCCAAGGAGGCTGTTGTGGTCCCTTCCCCAGATAGACACGCTGCAACCACCCAGGGAGACAAAACCCCGGGGGGTGGGGGGCCTGTGACCTCCATCCTCCCCTTGCGCCTGGGGTCCCTGGGTCTCTGGGCTGTGTCCTTCTCCCAGCAACTCCGGGACTCACCCTCTGTCTGTCTGTCCCACCCGGCGCAGGTTTATTAACGCCCGGAGGCGCATCGTACAGCCGATGATCGACCAGTCCAACCGCACAGGTGAGGCCCAGCTGGCGGGGCTGGGCCTGGGGGGCAGGGAGCCTGCAAAACCCTCTGCCTCCCAGACCTGGACCTGGGGGCCCGGTTCCCGCAGAGCTCACCCCCTTCTGATGCCCTGCTCCCCCCGCAGCGTGAGACGAGCTCGCTGGGTCTTAGCTGGCTTCCCACCGGGCTGGGGCATTGCTAGCGAAACGGGGCATGAACCAGCCCCCCCTGCAGGGGAGATGGGGGCTGAATGGGCCATGGGGACTGAGCGCCCTGCTGTCTGACAGAGGAGGGGGTGGCATGGGGGGGTCAGTTTCTGGGGCCCCCCCACTGGGCTTGTGTCCTGCCCCTGGCGGGGCGCGGCTTGTGCGCCCCACTCTGCAGAGCCCACAATGCTCCCCCCATTGAAAGTGCCCCCCTCCCGCGGCTAATCTCACCGTGACCTTTCCTCCCTCTCTTCCGCGCAGGTCAGGGGCCGCCCTACAGCCCCGACGCGCAGCCCATGGGTGGGTACGTCATGGACGGGCAGCAGCACATGGCCATCCGCCCCCCAGGTAAGGCTGGAGCAGGGCAGGGCTGGACTAGCTGGTGGGGTTCCCCCCCACCCAACTCTCCGGCCTCCTTCGTCCAGTCCAATGTCATTCCTCCCTCCGCAACGGCCTGGCGACAGGCTTTCCCCCCCAGGGGGCGCCGGGGGTGGGACCGAAAAAACGGGACATAGACTTTCCTCCGAAAACGTCTACAGCCTTAACAATCATATATTGCGTTCCCCCCTCTCCCCCCTCACCCCACACCGGTTCCTATTTTTCATTGCAAGGACGAATTCCTCTGGTTTGTCTCTGGGGGGAGGGGGGAAAAATCCCCCCATTCCAGCAATTCCCCCCCACCCCCCTGAGTGTGTTTTGTGTCTGTCGGAAAAAAACATGATTGAAGCCGTCCAGCCAGGCCCCAGGATGACTCCATGTCCCTCCCTGAGCCTTGGGGGGGCGGCGGGGGGGGCGGGGGGGGC